TAAGGGTCCGGACATTCCAGGTGCATGCCCTCAAATCGTAGTCCTTTAAACGTTTGCCGTGGTCGTCATCATAAGGGGGGTCTCATCCGAGGCTTTGCCTTGCTTCTTCACTGGAAGTGGTTTTTACGTGGCGGGTCTCAAGCCCAGCGCACAACCCATTGCTGGGACGGGGTGGTTTCGCAACCAAATACACGTTTATATAGCGAGCCGCTTGCTCCAAGCAGACACCCGCTTGCAGCCGCACCTACTGGTGAACAGACGCTGCAGACTTCAGTGAGCCCTTAAACCGAATAAGTCGGAGTGGCCCCACCGAAGCTCCTTCTCTTTCTGCCGTGACCCAAGGCTCCACTCGGATTGGTTACCGCATCTCGCACATGGGTTGCTCACGTTGCCCAGAGTGCGCGAACGAGGACGCAAGAGTCGGGATTGAGTATAGCCATGCAACTGTAACTGCATACCCAGCGCAACGACTATACCCCATTGTACTCCGAACAGACTACTTATGTTTGTTAAAAAATGGAAGTAAACAACGAAATATTTGAATATGTATAGATTTCAATAATTATTTAGTGATATTTCAACCATATCAGTGTTGTACCAATGACATGTAAACAAACCGACTGACGATTTTACAGGAAATAGTGCTTTTTGCGTTCCCGTACACTTCTGCATCTGTCTCACTTGAGAGAGTAAATTTGTAGTTTGACAGTTCCACAGGTTGTAGTCCGAAGTTCAGAGGAACAGACTAAGTACCACTAAACAATACTTATTTGCGTGATTTAGTTATTTGCAAAAAAAATTAACACCCCTATTCTGCAACTCTTTCGTATTCGGATTTTGCTACGAATCGTAGAAATAGTGTGTTGCAATCCGAACCGTATTTTCGAACTTTCGAAATTCGAAAAAATGGCATTCCTAAAAACGAACGAGTAAGCTTTCTTGCGTAATTTTGTACGAAAACAATTCTGTGTCGGAGGCGATATAAAAGATGTAAATCAATGTGTGTTCAAGAAAGTGTGTGCAAGAAATATTGGTGGTGTTAATTTAAACAGATACATTTGCCTTTCGCATATACGTATATTTTTATGCACTGCTTCATATAAACGAGCAAAAAAGAGGCTTTGTTGCCCCTAATCGAGAAACTTGGGTCCGGTTTAGTTATTTGTACAACGATTTTCGGTTGTTGTGTCTAAACGCATAGTCCAAATCCAAAAACTTTAACATACACGTATAATCAAGGGATACACATTTTTTAAGACAAATGTTTCAAATTTTCTACCACTAGCTTATTAATAAACTCGGTTTGCACTATGCACTTTTTTGCTAATTTCGACGTGGGTTCTGCGCAAATATACTGTGGACGGCATAGCCGGAGTGATATGCACAAGAAATGTTGTATACCTTTGATTTGCGGAAGCTCCTCTTCCCCGCAACACAGAAAGGATAATTCTACTGAGTAATTGTTATAATCCCTAAGCGCGACCGAAGGCAGAAGCAAGCGCAACAGGTGGTGACCTAACAAAGTGCATGTTTTCAATGGCTTGGAAAAAGCTGTTATTGCATTAACTGGGTTGAGAACTAGAGCTTCAGGCATAGGAGGAGTTCTGGCTTGTGGCTTAACAATTCCACAAAGAAGCTAACGTAGATGCGCCCCACGATTGAGAAAATACAAAGGTTGCGCCGATCTCGGACCGCTATTCCTCTCTTAAGAAATTTTACAGAATCGTTGTTTGCATGGCGTCACACTTGTGCAACTTGTTTACGTTTTCCTTGCATCATTTTTTCTTCTTCTTCCATTCTTGCTCACGTTTTGGCATTTCTCTCTCGCAATTGCACCAGTGTGACGTCACACAAAAGTTATTCTCAAAAATCCTCTCTGATCGGCGCAATCTTGTATTCTATCAATCTTGGATGCGCCCATGGTTACTATGCACGGCAGCTCCGCATACCTTTGTGAGTCCATTGCCATAGCGCGCTCTTACTCCGCTGCCATGATTCAATAATACAAGGTTGTGTAATTTGTGACAGCTAAAATTTGACACTCCTTTATCTGGATTTGTATTTTGGAAGTTGGAGAAAGGGGATGAATGTGATCGCATTTTGCGAAAACGGTAGTATAATGGTACTACAAATAGTACGCTAATTAGAAGTAAAATGTATATTATTCATTCTATGCGAATTTTCAATATATTTGGTGTTTTAATGGAAATACTAAACAATACATAAAAATATGCACTTTTGATTTAAGTTATTCGTCATTTCCGGGAACAAATCTAGAATACCGACCGTTCAGCTATGCAAAACGAAAAATGCAGATCACTTTTTATGCTCATTTCAACCATGCCAAAATGATTTTGCGCAAGTAAAAAATGAAGAGGTTCTAGAAGGTTAAAGTTCAGTTTTTAGATATTTTAAATATTAATATTTTATGAACTTTATAACCGATTAAAAAGCGAATGACGTCACCATAAAGGTAATTAATTTGTTCTTCAGCTGGTGTACATAATTTATAGCTTTTTGTATTTTTAAACCAAAACCACTAAAAAAAGAACAAATATTATTTTTTCATGAAATAGCCTTTTTTGAAAAAACTGCATAATTAAGGTAAAGAATTTTATATTATTTAGAAAATACAAGTTATTATCTTTAATTCCATATTTTATCATGATCTACTTTTGGGTTTCAACAATTTAGTGATAATAAAAAATACAAATAAACCTCATATCTTCTTTTTTGACCTGCGCCAAATAAATTTGGTATCGTTGAAATCAGCGTAAAAAGTTCTATCAATCGGCATTTTTGGTTATTTTATAGCTAAACGGTCGCTATTCTACACTTGTTCTAGAAAATTACGCAAACGAAGGTGACGCCAACGAATATTTTGGTTTTACTACTAATATCACTAGAAACTATAGAGTAAGCAACATTCTGCACAAGTAAAGGAGCCGATTTTATGTGTGAGAGCGAGAAGACTGTTTTATTACAAAACCTTTCTATTATTATGCGCGTTCCTTATCTCCCAGAAATAGTCAGAAAAAGTCCGAAGTAGTCAGATTTAGTCAGAAGAATTTTTTCTGGCAAAATCCTGAAAAGTGTCAAACTCAACTGAATTTAAATTAACGGAAATTAAAGAATACGCAAAAAGTGAGAATAATCTAAAAAAGTAAAAGAAATGAATTGAAATTGGAAGGAGGCAAAAAATAATTGATATAGCAAGTGTTTATTGTGCTTGTGCTTGTGTGAATGTGTTTTGTACATACATTTCTGTTCTTATTTGACGTTAGTTTTGTTGTTGCCATTCTTTGGACTAAAAATTTGGTTTTTTGCGTTCCTTTACTTTTCCTGTTACTCTCTTTTAGTGAGCGCATTTTGCTTACGCTCTGGCATTTTGACACTTTTCAGATTTTAGTCCAAAAAGATAAGGAATGAACCTATTGAATCATGCTCCGCTGCTATAACTGCAAATGCATCAGAATCCATAACTTTCCTCAAAATATTGAAAATCAATAAATTTTACTATAAACAAGCGCATTAGTGTTTTTTTAATTCCTTTCCACTTTGTTTTCCTTCATACAGCTATCTTCGAAAAACAACTGATAGCTGGCAATGCTGCACATGTTTCCGCAAGGGTTGCAGCATGTGGATTTTTCGTAGCGTAGTTACGAATTACGAAAATTCGGGTTCTAGAATAAGGGGGATATATTCCGGCTTATAAGCCTGTACTTATAGATTTTTCTACATTTAATTTGAAATAGTATGCACCAACGGATTAAAAGAACTAAATAATTATTACCTTTTCTAGTACTTTAAAATGCGTGACCGGAATAGACCTGCCGAAAAAGTGAGGTTAACCGCCCTATTCCCACACCATTCACAAAACTCAGCGGCTGACTATTGCCGTTACTACTGCGCCCAATACTATGCCGCAAATGTATTTTAAGCTGTCGTATGACAATTGTGGTAAGCAGTGCGCGCTTTCACACATCAGAACCTGGGTTCAAGCTCTGGTCAAAGCAACATCCCAAAAATATAGAAAAAGGGTTTTTCTTAACAGCGGTCGTCCCTCAGCAGGCAATGGCAAACCTCCGAGTGTATTTCTGTCATGAAAACCAGCTTCTCATAAAAATACAATCGCCGTTCGGAGTCGGCGTAGAACTGTAGGTCCCTCCGCTTTGTGTGACAACATCAAGGCGCATGCCACAAGAGGAGAAGCTCGGCCAAACAGTAACATATGTGTAAGCGCCATCTATTATTTTTATTATTATTATGACAATTGTCAGTTTCATTGTTATGACTTACTGAGTAAGTGACAATGGCGAAGCAATGTTTATATTGTGTTTTAGGTGCAGTAATTGTGACAATAGTCATACGATGAATTTTGTCAGTGTTGTGGGAATAGGGCGGTAAGTTACTGACATCTCCTTGTTATATTACACCATGGGTTGCGAAGTTTCAATAGGTTTGTATAGTAACAAATAGTCAGTACTAATTTGTACTGGAACCTGCTAATTTTTACTGGAAAAGTGTATATTAACCAAAAAAATTTGCAAGAGAGCACTGAGTCAAGAGCGTAATAAGACTGGAGATCTGCAAATTCTTGCTAGTGTAATTTTTACTAGCAGAAGAAGAAGAAGAATATATGTCAAAAACTGTCATTTGTTGAATTGGTTAAGCGTAAACAAAAGCAAATTAGTGGAAATCAAAATATTAATGAAGTACGGGACTATGTAAGTGCTTGTGGGCAAAGCAAAGAGTGTTAAACTGATTTATAAATAGTTAAATGTTAGCACCACAATGTGAAAACAGTGCAACAACTGTTCAGATGCAAGGTTTTACTAGTTTTGTGTTCAGTAACTTTTTCTGCTAGTTTTCTCGTTAATTTTACGCCCTATTTTGCTTTTACGCTCTCGCTGCAATTTTAACTCGAGAAGTTACTATACACACCTAATTACTGTTCCTAATAGTTATTTATCGATAACTTTTACGATAAATGCTGTTCGAACACTTCCCAAGTGGAACCCAATGGGTCCATTTTAGCAGTTCAGTGGTTCCGCTATATATCTTTAAAATTCTTTAAATAAAAATATTTAACAATTCATGTACATTACATTGTTTAAGAACTTGCGCAGTGACAGGGGGCGTCGCCGTACATCGAAAAATCGGTTTTATTTATAAATTTAATAACAGTGTCGTAAAAGCGAAAAATCAGTAAATTTCGTCATACCCAAAGAAACAACAAATTCGCTTAATACTGTGACAACCGCTGTCTGACGTATAGGAGCTAGTGGAACGTAAATAGCACACTGAACGCATTTCGGGACGAAAAAACGTAAGCACCCATAAAAACCGAGGAGCACGAAAAATAACTAATTTTTGTATCATATACAATTGATAAGGATTTATATATCGAACTGACAAGTTTGATGTTCAGTAATTAAAAATTTCCTGTGGACAGAAGACAACGTAAGACCCCACACCGCCAGAAAGCACGGAAGCCGCTTCAGAGGCTGACGCCAGTACGCCTGTCACTGAACCAGCGGAAGTTTCCAACCAAACCAAAATGGCCGAAGCTGTCGTTGATGAGCGTCCGCCGCTCACTACACGTTTCTATTGCCATATGTGCAGCATGGAAGTAAACATTCCAAACACCGATTTCACCTGCCCACACTGTTCTGGCGGATTTGTTGAAGAGTTGCCATCTGTACCGAGTACAACGAGCGCCAGCAGCAGTACTTCTAGTCTGGCTGATGGCCCCAGCAATGCTGGTAGCGATGCACTTGGTCTAAATCGTCTAGTTGATTTGGATGTCATTCGGGGCGAAATTGAAACACTGTTAATGTCACGGAACGGACCTATAGAAATTGCCATCGGCCCGGCGAATAGGCGCAATAGCATGCTTTTGGGCGGCGGAGCTGGAGGCACAAATGCAGGCAGCAACAGCAGTGGAAACGGGAGCTCTGGTGGTGGTCGCGTACACCCACCCAATTTGGGAAGTTTGGATACTGTTCTCCTTGATTTTTTGCAATCCCTTTCAGGGGGTGATGACGGGTATTTTGGCAATGCTCCAATGTTTTTCATGGGCAATCCCGGCGATTATGCGTGGGGTCGCGA